TCTAACCCCTCTTGGAAGACAAATGTAGATGAAAATCAATCTGAGATGTTCTTGGCAAAGATCTAAAAGACTGGTGACACAGTAAGATGGTGAATGTGTGGGAAACAGGCATCTCATACACTGGAACACAGCCTCCTGCAATGTCTATGACCTATCAGGGAACATTATCAAAACTACAACTGCACATCAAGTCTACGTTTAGAAATTTGATCCTGCAGTACATTCCTTGTAATACAGAGTGAAATACTGGCATTTATTGACACTTATTCTATCATTATTCATTCTGGAAAAAATGGAAATAACTTAAATGTCCATTAATCTTAATAAATTATAGTTTATTATACCATGAATACTATAAAAGACAAACCCTAAAATGGTTTGATGATCTCTGCTTCCTAGTACTCATGCCCAGTGTAACCCTGGTCCTCTTCAGTATGAATGGAACATGTGACTTCCTTCTAACATATAGAATGTGGCAAAAGTGACATGTCACTTCCCTGATTATATTATACAAGATAATAGCATCTTTTTTTTTTTTTTCCTCTTCAGTACTGGGGATTGAAGCCAGGGCCTCGTACATGCTAGACAAATTCTACATCACTTGAACCATGCCCCAGTCATAACATTTATCTTGCCAGCAGACTCTTTCCCTTACTGGTTTCAGCTGGTTGCTATGTTGTGACTACCCTATGGAGAGGCCTAAAGGCGAAAAATCCAACCAACAGCCAGCAAGAAACTGAGAACATCAGTCCTACAACCCAGGAAGAACTGAATTCTGCCAGCAACCACGTGATTGTGGAGGCAGATAGTTCCCCAAACCTTGAGATCTCGAGACCACAGCTTGAGGTGGTATCTGTCCCTTTTCCTCTGGTTATTTTGGAGATGGGGTCTCTCAAACTATTTGTCTAGGCTGGCCTCCAACTGATCTCAGCCTCCCAAATAGCTAGGATTACAAGTGTGAGCCACCAGTACCCAGTTGGTCATGTTTTGAATTTGCTCCTCATACATGAAACTAACTCAGAAAATTTAAAACCCTTTTGGGAACCATTTGATTTAGAATAAAATAAAGCCTACTAAAATGACCTAAAAAGACACTGCATGATTTGGGTCTTGCCTACTATTTTTGTGGTATTGGCGGTTGAATTAGGCTTCACGCTTGCTAGGCAGCTACTCTACCACTTGAGCCACTCCACCAGCGTTTTTTTTGTGTGTGTGATGGATTTTTTTGAGATAGGGCCTTGTAAACGATTTGGCCAGGGCTGGCTTCAAACCATGATTCCCCTGGATCTCTGCCTCCTGAGTAACTAGGATTACAGGCATGAGCTACTGGCACCTGGCTATGTTGGGTATTTTCCAGATAGGGTGTCCTGATCTTTTTGCCTGGGGCAGCCTCGATCACAATTCTCCTCTTTTATGCTTCCTGCAGTAGCTGGAATGACAGGCATACATGACTATGCCCTGCTATTGGTTGAGATGGAATCTTTTGAACTTTTTGCCCAGGCGTCCCTTGAACTGCAATTCTCCCAATCTCTGCCTCCCAGGTAGCTAGGATTACTGGTGTGAGCCACCAGTGCTCAGTTCAGGTCCTGCCTGTTTCTTTAATTTATACCTTTATTCCTGGCTTTTATGACTTTCCAGCCACTTGAACTTAAAGTTCCTTGTGGACAGGAATATGTCTTGTTCATTTTTTGATCTCTAACACCTACCACAATGCCTAATTGGAAATATTTTTGAAGCAATAATGAGTGAATTTCATCTGCAGTTTTAGGAAGGATTAAAAGAGATAATGGTGGAAGGTAATCAAGGGAGGGGGGGAGGGAAAAGGATATTGAGGAGTGAAGAGGATTGAAGTATGATATCTATGTATCTATCTATGTTTCTATCTATGCATCTATGAAGACAGCATAATGAAACCCACCAAACACTGTTAGAAAAGGGGAGAGCAGGAACGGGAGAATTGGGAATGTAAAGGAGGGGTGAACTTGTTCAAAGTACACTGTATATATGTATGTAACTATCACAACGAAACCCCCTCATTAATGTATGCTAACTAAAAAAATAATAAAACTATTAAAAAGGAGGTAATACCTAGCACATAGTAGACACTCAACAGAAATGGGCACAATACGGGATCTTTCCCTTGGCATATCACTCCTGAAGGGCACTCATATAAATGGGAGTAGAACCTCATTATGTAAATCAACAGGTGAAGGTCAGAGATGAAAAATATTAATTCAGCATGAAGGATACCATAACAGATGGAGATGCAGCATGCACGAGGCCTGGGTTCACTCCTCAGGGCCACAGCTACACATGTGGGCGGGGCTTTATGAAGTGGTGAACACCCCTGCACCACTTCATCACTATCTGTAGTTAGGAAAACTCTAAAAAATAAAACTGCTGAGGGCTCTTCTGGAGCCTTTCTAGGAGTCTGTGATTGTTTTGTCTGTTTTTTCAGAGCACTGTATAGAAGTATATACAGAAGAAAAGACAGGTTCTGCTCTTTTCAATTGTTGTATATGTATAAGCATACTGTTTATATTTCTGACTCCTGAATTTGAAAAAAAAATCAGTACCATTATTGGCCTTTCTCTAAAATGGGAGTGCTGAGTATGGGATTTCATTGTGAGACACTAATGGCTATATTGATTCAAATTTTTGAGGTTTATAAAATTATTCTTCTCTCAGCCTATTTCTTTGGATCGAAAAGGGATGAATGGGTCAAAAGAGTTTTTTCTAATCACGGTCATGCTACAGGTGTAATTTCATCAAAGTACTGAAGAACGAAACACCTTTTTGAAACGTCCTATTTGAATGGAATTTTTTTTCCCATTAACTGCACACAGAAGCTACATGGAAGCAGGGTGCTGGTGGCTCATGCCTGTAATTCTAGCTACTCAGGAGGCAGAGTTCAAAGCCACCCTGGGGAAAACAGTTCTCAAGACCCTATCTCTAAAAAACCCATCATATACACACAAAAGAAGGGCTGGTGAAGTGGCTCAAGATGTAGGCCCTGAGTTCAAACCCCAGTACCACCAAAAAAAAAAAAAAAAAAAAAAAGGGAGTTGCATGGACTACAAAGGGACCAATTCTCTGTGATACTGAAGTATACTTTCCACAGTTTTCAGGTGGAAGTCATTAACAAGGAAAACCACACCAGTGTTGGACTAGAAAGAACACATCTTCCTAGTGGCTCCCACCCAGCTCTGGGTCTATATTCTTGGGGAAAGATACAGTAAACAAGAACACCATGTCCCACCCAGTCTTTTTATCTTTTTAAATTTTGGTACACTGCATATACATCCAACAGTAGGCAAGAAATTAGTTGTTCATATACCTTGCTTAAATGTTGATAGTAATCGTATCTTGTTCTTGACTGCTTATAGATTCAAACTATTTTGAAACAACATTTCCATTTATTTAGTAACTTCCAAAATCTAGAAATTTGTTGAAAACCACCCACATTACTGCAAATTTAAAAACAAATACAAAGTAAAGTGCTTGGAAAAGAATAGTTGGTGGTAGGCAGAAGTCTGGGCTCCAGCCAGTATTTGCTTTGATGTTAGGTGGGACAACCCAGAGTTTGTGAAGAAACTGAAAAACTTCCAGGGCTCTGCAGAGCATTCTGGAAATTGCTGCATCAGAAGAGCTCTTCCAGTTCTGCCATCATTACTTTAACAGTAACAACCTGCAAAGCACAAATTTGGCCTTGTTGAGATGCATCTAAATTAATCTTTTTTTTTTTTTTTTTTAAAGAAAGTTGTATAACAACTGCCAAGAACATGAGGAACTACAGTGGGTCCATTGTATTAGTGCTTGTTTTTGGGTTTAAATTCACAGTCTGTGTATGTGCTTAATTTACTCAACCGTGCCAAAAACCAGGACTATCAAGTGTGGTCTCCAAGGAAAACAGGTAAACAAGCACATTCAAGTACAGCTGTTTGTGGTAACAGACCTGTGGCACATGGGAGCATGTGGTGGGGGTACTCAATTCTGCGGAAGGGAGAGAACAGCGAGGGGGATGAGATGATTCAAATAAACAGCAACTGATACATACGGAACACTTAAAATGTTTCAGGCAGTATGCTAAAACTTTTATGCAATCATTTAAGAAATAAGGACACTGAGGTAAAGTGAAGGCAGGGTTTCTAAACCAGGCTGTGTGACTCCAGGGCCCTATTTGTATCACTATGCTGTGCTACCTTTATATTGACAGTCATAGCAGCACTTAGGTCGCATCTCTTTTTTGTGTGTGAGGTGCTGGGGCCTGAACACAGAATGTAGGAAAGACTTGAGGGGTTGGAGGAGGCATGCATCCCTCTCCCTTTGGCAAAATCCCTGTAATAACAGACTCAAAAGATGACTGGGGAGATACAGTGGCTTTAGGAGATGGGGTATCTAGTGAGCATCCCAGAATGCCACTGACCTTGAGCCTTCTCTGATCTTAGGGAATAACAAGCAAATAAAATGGGTGAGAGTTCCAGTGCTGACTGGACATGTGCTGGCTGCATATGAATGTGCAGCAGGTATTACACAAACTGAGGTCCTGGGCAAAAAGCACGTATGAAGTGCTCTCAAGGAAGGAGAGAACACAAGTCGGCAAAAACCACTTCTGTTCATTCACATGAGAAAAGGTTTCAGTGGAGCCTTCTCAAAACTGCAGTGCTTGCTGTATAAGATGTCCTTAGCTCAAATATAAGAGTTGGTTGGAAGTCTCTACTGCCAGGCCAAAGCAGTACATTAAATATTTCCCCTGGCTTTGTTGAGTGTTATCATTGCATAATTTCAATGGGGAAAGACAACAACAACAAAGAACCCTCCTGGAACAAAGCGTACAGAAGTACAAATGGGGACAGAATACCATCTGCTTGTGTACACGCCAATGGGAAAATGCAGGAGCTGGTAATGACCCAAAAATACATTGTGCAAAAATACAAAACAGTATTTTATTTATACTTCCCTTGGTTTAAGAGTCTAATTATACTTTCTAGCCTGAGGATGGTCAGTACAGGCTACAAATAATTATGCTGTTAATGAGACTCCCTCTTTGCCTTCACTAAGCACAGCAGTCTGAATGATCTCAGGCAATTTTAACAGGGGAAGATGAGAGGTTTTTCAGACACATTTCACTGCTTACAGATGGTAAGTGGCTTCTCACCATGGTAACGATCAGGTTGCTAGGCTGGGCAAGGCCAAGTGTGGAAGAATGGTCCTCTGAACAGATCTATTGAAATGAATGGCTCATGCCACCGGCAACTTTCTTCAAATTCTGATTAATTTCCCATGAAATAATTGCTTGGCCTACATCCAAGCAGCTCCTTTATTCACTGCTTTTTTGTCTTGCTGACAGGAGGGCCAGTCAACACTGAAACATACAGTCTGAACCAAGCATACATGATGCCCACTGCACAGTACACTGAGGTCAGTAACAAAGGGATGAAGGGGTACTTCAGCCTCCAGGAGGTAAGAGGGAATATAAATTCACAGCAGACTTCCAGAGGCCCCAGGCCAAGGAGGTAGAAAGTTTCCATCCAATTAAAAAGAGGTTTTTCTTTTCTGAAGAAAAGAGAGAAAAGTCTGCTTTTAGATGAGTCACCCTGGTTTAGCAAACATTTCCTAGCTAAAACTTCCCCATCTGCACTGTCTCGATGTGGCCAGAACCAAAGACTGCATTAAGTTTCTCATATAAAAAAATGTTAATGATATATTACATTATCTCATATTTACTCAGACATCTACCTATGCTATCACTTAGCTGAAGCTGTGCAGACAAAATTAGCTCCGCATTTGGGAGACAGAAAGGGCCTGTGAGTTGTGACAGTAGAATAGGAACATATAAACATAATTGAGGATTCTAAAAAACATTTTAATTTTGTTAAGATACAAGTAACACAAAATTTTCTATTTTAATCATTTTAAGCATATAATTTAGTGGCATTCAGTATGCTGATAATGTATATTTATTATACTAACCACTTTTTAAAACATTTCCATAACTCCAAATAGAAGCTATGGAACTAATGATAACTCTCCATCCCCTGCTCACCAACATCCAACCTACTTTCTACCTCTGTGAATCTGCCTATGCTAGAATTTCATATAAATGGAATTATATATTATTTGAACTTTTGTGTCTGGCTTCTTTTACTTCACATGTTTTTAAGGTTCATCCAAGTTGTAGCATATATCTGAACTTCATTCCTTTCTCTGGCTAAATGATATTCTATTATAAGTATATTCCACATTTTATTTATCCCTTCTTTTGGCTATTGTAGTAACACTGGTTGTGTAAGTACTGGTTTGGTCCCTATTTTCTTTCTTTCTTTCAGTACTGGGGCTTGAACTCAGAGCCTACACCTTGAGCCACTCCACCAGCCTTTTTTTGTGAAGGTTTTTTTTTTTTGAGATAGGATCTTGTGAACTATTTGCCAGGGCTGGCTTTGAATCATGATCCTCCTGATCTCTACCTCTTGAGTAGCTAGGATTACAGGTGTGAGCCACGGTGCCTGGCTAGTCCCTATTTTCAATTCTTTTGGGTATATACCTATAAGTGGAATTGCTGGATCACATGGTTATAACTGATTTTTTTTTTTCTTTTGTGATAAGGTCTTGCTATATATAGTCCAGGCTGGCCTTGAAGTTGTGATCCTTCTGCTTCTCTCTCCTGAAGGCTAGAATTACAGGTGCATACCACTATGCCTGGCTATAATTGATTTCTAACAAAATTAATTACATGACTTTTCATGGACATAATCATGTATAAGCCATAAGCAGGCTTTAAAAATTACAGACCTAATATTACATAAAGTTAGAAGAGAAAAAAATTCTACCCATAATTCTGTAACAATTTTTAGTAGTATTTTTTGTTTTTCCATTTCTATCTGTAGTTATATAATTTTATCCATAATGTATAGTTCACATTCCATTTTTTTAGTTTTCAAATAAGGTTTTATTTATTTATTGTCTTTTTGAGATAGGGTCTTACTATGTAGCCCAGGCTGAACTCAAACTTCCCATCCTCCTGTCTCTGCTCACAAGTGCTGGAATTACGGGCACATGTTACCAAATCAGGTTTTGATTTAAGCTAGGCAGTCTTCCTCAAATATTCCTGCGAACCAAGGACGCAACCTATGCTGTCCCATCAGAGTGATGTCATTATATGAGTCATTTTTCAATCTACTTACCATTTCTTGTAATGTTGTTATACTATTGTTATAACTTAAAAAGAAATTTTAGCTGGGCATTCATGGTTTGTGTCTATAATCCTAGTTACTCAGGAGGTAGAGATCAGGAGGATCAGGGAAACAGCTCAGGCAAACAGCCTGTAAGACCCCATCTCAAAAACAACCAATACACACAAAAAAACCCCAAGTCTGGTGGAGTGGTTCAAGTGGTAGAGTACCTGCCTACCAAGCAGGAAGCCCTGAGTTCAAACCCTATTACTGCTGCAAAGAAAAAAAAAAAAAATTAAAGGCCTTTTTTTTTGGCAGTACTGGTGTTTAAACTTAGGCCTTCCTGCTTGGTAGGCAGGCAGGCACTTTATCATATGAGCCACTCCACCAGCCCTTTAAGGTTTTCATGACCATTTAGAAGTAAATATTTCACAAGAGTAAATATAATTTTAAATGTACTTAAAATTATTTTTGATGGTACTGGGATTTGAACTCAGGGCCTTGTAATTGCTAGGCAGGGCTCTACCATTCGAGCCATGCCTCCAACTCAAAAAATCACTTTTTTATTACCTGAATAGTGTCTTTAGTGAAGAAATACTGTAAATGGTGAACAGCAGCATGAGTAAGATTTTAATGGGAAGTTCTGTTAAAAGAAAAAAATATAGATGACAGTTCAGCTGATTTATCATCTTAAGGCAATATAAGCCTTCTGACATGCTACGTTATGAGATTAAGTATGCATTTTTGTGACATCTAAATATACTTAAAATCGGAGAGGAACTGGAAGTTTTATTTATGAGAATGGAGGAGATCTCTGCTTCCAGGAGATTTTAAGGTTGCTTAAATCAGAGTATTGATCTCTAAGGCCTGATGAGCGGGTATGGAAGTCAATACAGTTGAAAGCCATTTACCTGGTGCAGTGAAGAGTAGAGGGAAGAGGGAATAATGTCCTGTTGTGGTCAGAATCAAAAAAATCGAAGCATCTCCTGCTTTTTCCACAGACAAAAGGCTAAAAATAAAAAAAACTTACAATGATTTCTGAAAACAAGTGAAACTATACTTGCAAAGAGTTTGAATACACTGCATCTATTAATGTAGAATTAGCTTAAGTATAACATAAATAATGACTTTGCTACAAATCCAATTCAATCAAAAATATTACTTTGTTTTTTGTCCTTTCTTTTTTGATGCTGGGATTGAACCCAGGGCCTCTAGCATGCTAGGCAAGTGCTCTACCACTGAGCTACATCCCAGCCAGAGAATCTTAATTTTTTTAAGCCATCAATAAATATAATGTACCAAATGTAGCAGGAAATATCCAAAAAAGAATGAATCTTGCCTCCCTAAGTGCCTTCCTCACAGAAAGAAATGTTGTGGAATTGGGAGCTGCCTAGTGGTGGCTGTCAGGGAAACAGGACTCCAACTTTCATTTTCAAACCTATAGCTCATCTCTTAAGATAATGCCCTGCATCTGCCATATGAATTCATAAAGACATTAAAAATTTGGCTTTACTTTTTAATTTGGAAATTCCATGTTGCTATATAAACTTAGTAGAGTGACCTGAAAAATGTTGCTCAATGTTTTTTTGGGTCTTAAATAATTACTCAAGATTCAAGGAAAAACCTCAAGAAAAAAGGCTGATTCAAAGCTGGTGGCTCAGCCTTGTAATCTTTGGAAGGATTACTTGGGGAGGCTGAGGTTAGGAGGATGGCGGTTTGAGTACAGCCTGACCAAAAAGTCCATGAGACCCTATTTCAAACAGTAGCTGGGCAAGTTGAGGCACACCTGTCACCCCAGCCATGCAGGAGGCCGAGATCAGGAGGATCTGTCAAGGCCAGTCTGGGCAAAAATCTGTGAGACCTCCCCACCTCAACAGAAAAAAGCTGGGTCTGGTGACATGCACCTGTCATCCCAGCTATGGTGGGGAAGCTTGAAATAGGAGGATCACAGTCCAGGCTGGCCTCGGTCAAAACCAAGATCCTACCTCCAAAAATAACCAGAAAAGAAAGGGCTGGAGGCATCTGCCTCCAGCACTAGGGCACTTGCCTAATAATCTATCAATCTATTGGGTTTCAATTATGCATAAAATGGACACTACTACATGTGCAGTGTTTTTTTTTCTTTTTTTTTATAGCACAGAAGAGTGGAAAGATGAGAAGATTCAGCATCATAAGATCAGGTGAAGCCTTAACTGCTATTTGCTAACTGTGTGACTTTGTTGTTTTGGGGTTTGTTTTGTTTGTTTTTTGAGACAGGGTCTTGTTCTGTAGCCCAGGCAGGACCAAACTCTCCCTTCTTCTGCCTCAGCCTCCCCAGAACTGGGATTTATAAGTATGTGTTACCACACCCAGCTTAACTGTGTGACTTTGGATAAATCACAAACTCTCTGAGCCCTTGTTTATGCTGATGCTAAAACTCCCAGAATGATACCAATTTATCCTAATTATCTTAAAGGTTGTTGAGCGGCTCAAAGAACAAATGCAAAAAACAAAAACAAACAAATAGTTCTGGAAAACCTAAAGTGCAGTATAAATGGTAGAGAATTATTCCAGAATGGAGTCAGTCCTTACTGTGACTGATAATACTTAATAAGGATCATAGGACTTCATTTTCACAGATGTGACAATGCCAAAGCCCAGTATTTTCCCAGACCATGCTATCATAGTATTTAATCACCAAAAATGCATAAACATCACATGCATTTTTGCATGCCTTAGAACCTTCATGGGCCTAAGGATCCCAAGTTAAGTATCCTTGTTCTATCCTAGTGGAAATCTGTCCCTTCGCTTCTCCCTACCCCGCTCTACTGAACATGGCTACAAGGAGCAGAGCAAATGGAAAACAGTAAGCCACTGTGAAAGAAGGCAGAAATATTGATGGGCTAAGCTATCTGCTTACCTCATTGGGAGCACTGCAAGGAGTATGGCTTTTTCATGGACATGCCATCCAAACATGAAGGAGCTCAAAGCACAAAGAATTAGGCATCGGAGAAAGCCTCTGGGCCCTTGGGGTTTAAACCAAAGACAGAAAACAGAGGGCTAGAAACAATAGGCAAAGATAAAACTTCAGTATCATTTAAAATTGGCTTTACAGAAACAGTGTTTAGGCAAATGCAATTTGCATCATCTCTGTAAAATAGCAACTCTAGAAAATTCTGCATTGAATTTGGATAATTCATTCCTTTGTGCAGTCCACCAAAAGTTAACTTTATAAAAGAAAAAGCAGGCATTTGGAAGCATGTATTTAACCCATTAAAATTAGTCCTAGTTATCAAAATTAATAATAAATGATGTTTTAGAAATCACAATATAACAACTTATTATACCTTTATAATTAGTTAATTGATATTCATTGAACCTATTAGGTAAAGCTACAGAAGTTCATTAATATTTTTCAGCTAGCAAATTAGATTTTACCATATGAATAAAAAAAATCTAGATTTGTGGGCTGGGGTGTAATTTATAATAAAACTACTGCCTTCTATACACATCTTACAAGGCTAAGATTTCAGAGAAAAGCTTTTACCTCAGTTAAAAACTGTGGATGAGTAGTAGGCCAGCACAGCTTAGTTACCTACATATCAGTACTACCATATAATTGAGTGGAGCTAGATGTCTTTTGCTAGTAGGTTTTGATAATTCAGAAACCAAAATTAAGGGCTGGCAGAGTGGCTCAAGTGGTAGAGTACCTGCCTAGGAAGCATGAAGCCCTGAGTTCAAACCCAGTACCAGCAAAAAATTTAAAAATTAAATATAAAAGGAGAGAGTGTTTATATGTATATATGTGTATATATATATATATATATATATATATAATATACGTAACAATTATATATATGTAACAATATTAAAGCTGTACACAATTATCAAGAGGACTGAGTTTTTTATATTGAACTCTACTAAAATTGTATCATGGAACTGAAGTTGTCGTGTTCACCAACAGTTGTAAATGAAGACTCTAAAGGCATGTAACCCAGAATAGACTCTTATGCACAAAGAGCCACTGTTGACTCTCAATTCATTATCACCATCAAGACAACATATCTCTGTGGTCCAGACATATTTTGATCACTTAGCCAAAGATGAGAAAAACGCAACAAAGTCTGGATGTTCCTGCCACAAAAATTTCCTCTTTCTCCACAGCATGCCCCAAGCCTCTTCCTCCCTGTGCTTTTCCTTTATCCTCATGCCAGGATGGACAGATGGTCTAACAGCCACTGGCAGGAATCTCTCTGAGAGAGGCTTTACTGGTAATCCTTCTTTACTGTGTTCAAAGTTCTTCTAAGAATTGCAAGTAAATACTTCAATCTGCAGGATTTCAGCCCTGGAATTTATCCTGTAGTTAGAGAAGCTTCAAAGTTGAAATTCAATCATCCAGGAATGAGAAAAATCTCAAAAGAAATGAACAGCACCTGCTGAGTTCTTACCAGAATGGCAATCAAGGTGCAGATGAGTGTTGCCAAGGGTGTCACTGAGGGAAGGACTGTGTGTTGGAACTGCTGAACCAAACCACTCGTCATTGAGGCCTTGGGGATATTGTTGGGATCAAGAATTTTCAATTGCAAACCTATAGAGTAATATAGACATATTATTTTGTTTTATCAATGTGCCTCATATTTTATCAATTCCTTGAGAAAAAAAATAAGCTACTGCTGCTCAAAGCAAGATTTCATGAATTTAGCTTGTACTGTCCAATCTCTGTCAGAATGCCTCTGGTTTTAAGATTATAATCTATAGTTACAGATTATAATTCAAAGAGAGAATTTGTGCAGCCTACAGGAACCTTGTGGGCAGGCAGCATGTGAATAGTAATCTGCTTTCAGCTTTTTTTTTTACAATTTTTATCAGCATATATTGGTTGTACAGAGGGTTTCATTGTGACATTTCTTATGTTCTTACAATCTATCTAAATTAGACTCACCTCCCATCATTCTCCTGCATCTCCACTCTCCCTCAGAACAATTTCATAGGTTTCACTGTTCTATTTTCATACACATACACAAAGTTAATGAAGCAAGCTGTCTACATCACAGACCATGCCATATCCCAACTTTGAATCCTTCATAGGACAAAGACCATATTCAGAAACAGCAGAGTGGCTACCACGATCTAGTTCCTTCCTACCTCTCTAACCTCCATGCCTAAAAACTGGGTCCTTTGCTCAGGCTACTCCCTTTGCTTAGAAAGATCTACTCATTTTGCCAAAGTACCTCCTAATTCCATTGCTCACCTGAGTAAGTTCTAACTCAAGAAGCAGAGCTGATTTTTTTCCATGAGCTCTCTATTCTAGTGTTCACACTGCTGCTTTTATGTGCTCACTTCTTCTATTATAATGTGTTTCTTATTAAAAAATGATGAATGCATTTCTGTCCCAGACATAGGAGTTCAATAAATTCTTATCAAATGAACCAAGTCTGGAATGATGATACAAGCTCCATCCTAAACAAGCTCCAGGGTAATAGGACAGTCACAGTCTGAACACCTATACAGCCCCATGCAAGGCCACTCAATGTCAGTGCAATGTAAGAAAAATGCAGACTAACAAAATATTTTCTACTTATTCACCCTTTCCCCTTTCCCTTCAGGGAAAGCAACAACTGAAACACAGTTGCCTACCCTGCTACTGACTTTCACAGAAGACATCTTTGAGGAGGCAGACATAACAAGGTAAGGTACAGCAGTTTCTTGACTCAGACAAAGCAATTAGTCCTTGTACCTCAGAGTATGGTGGCAATTTAAAGCTTTATTGAAATATAAATGCTTGAAATTACTTTCTAAGGATTCCTGGTACATCAAGGCTGGATTCATGGTGAGTGAGGGATAATACCAAATCAGGATTTCCTGTAAGTACATGGTAAAAACAGTAATAGCAGCCGCCATGCAACAACTATCATGTGCCAAAGGCTTTGTAGCCATTACTTTTTTGCTCCCTAAGGCACAGACAGATGGATGGAGCAACTTGCTGAAAGTGACATGACTAATAGGTGGTAGAATTTAACTTGGGTCTGTCTGGCTCCAAAGTTCTTGCTACCAATAACCTAGCACTTCTTTATTCTTGGTTTTGTTCTCACAACATGCTGTGGGAGCAGGTAAAGTATCCCCTCAGTATGTGAGGAAAGCTAGAGGAGTCAAATTACTTGGCAATGCCACACAGCCAGCAACTGACCCAGGTAGGCCTGCACACCAAGTCATCACACTATCTAGAGCAGGAGTCAGCAAACTACAAATCCAGTCTGTGACCTATTCTTGCAAGGCAATGAAGTTATGAATGGCCTTTGCATTTTTATTTATTTTTTTGAAACAGATCTCACTATGTTGTCTAGGCTGCTCTCGACTTCCTGGGCTCAACTGACACTCCTGTCTCAGTTGAGACAGGACTACCAATACAGGATACCATACATGGCTTTTTAAAGAACTGTGCAAACAGAGCAAACAAAAATACTGTGTATGTGGCCTGCACAGCCTAAAATACTATCTGGCCTGCTACAGAAAAAGTTTTCCAACTATTGCTCTTTGGCCTCGCTTTTTCCCACTAGGCTAGGCTGGATTCACAGAGTCTGAGTTATTCCACACTGAGCTGCTGTTAACAGAACCAGCTCAAGGCTGGTTACTTTCATTACAACTCAAACTTAAAAAGTCTAGCCTAGTGAGGCCCTGAGTTCAAACCCCAGTGTTGACAAAAACTGGGCTTTTTGTTTCTGTTCACCTAATACTGAAATTCACGTTTATCGTGTTCCTTGTTGGTTTAATGTCCAGAGTCACAACTTGCACATTCTTTTTCTCTTTCTTCTTCATATATTTAAGCTTAAAAGTTGGGAAAATTCCACTGAATAATGTTTTACTTAAGGCAAAAATTACCTTTAAAAAGAATTTAGACATTTAAACAGGATCCACACTGTCAAAGAAGCTTGCCTTTTTTTTTTTTTTCCCAGTACTGGGGCTTGAACTCGGGCCTTCACTTTGAACCACTCCACCAGCCCTATTTTTATGATGGGTTTTTCGAGATAGGGTCTTGTGAATTATTTGCCCAGGCTGGCTTCAAACCTCCTGATCTCTGTCTCCTGAGTAGCCAGGATTACAGATGTGAGCCACTGGCGCCCAGCCATAGAAGCTTTCATTAGGAATGCAGTCTATTTACTGCAGTACAGCCACAGTTCCAAGAACTGCTGCCCTGTTCACCCTGTAAGCTGAAGTACAGGACTAAAGAACAAACAATTCAGCCACATTCAAAACACAGGCAAGTTTTCCCATTTCTCCATGTGACTAGTCCTTTCAGTTTTCAGTTTACAATGAAAAGGCTGCTACCATACCAATGACAGACAGCAGTTTGTCCAAAGCATTGTACAAAGCCCAGAAGTTTGGAGCCCAGTAAGCATGGCAGAGGCCCCTCTTGAAAGGAAAGAGTCGGGAAAAGACTTGAGGCAGCTGGTTCTGCAGAAAAGAGAAATGAAACTGTTTAAATGGTCATCCATCATTTCAAAATTCAAAAACAGAACTGGAAACTGCCTATGGCACACTGTGTAAAAAAGCTATGAAGTATAGGTTCCAGTCTTTGCTTCTTCAAGTAAGTGGTTGTATGATCCCGAGCAGTTCAGAGACCTCTTGTCAATTGGCCAGTGGGAGAAGACACCTAAAAATGCTCTAAGTACCACTCCTTGCTATTAAGATGTAAGTATAATAATAGAAGAATTTCCAAGGTACAAAGGAGAGCACAGAACACAGATGATCCAGGTCTCCTGGAGCAATGGGGAGAGTAGGGAAGACTACAAAATATATAGTGCTCTTCAGTTTCAGTAGGAATTAAAACTGATTTCAGGGTTGGACCAAGAGGAAAAAAAGGAAAACATTTGAACTTCTGTCACATTCTAGGTACTTTAGAATGCTTGCTATTCATGAAAGACTGCAAAAGTATTGATTTGGGGGGTCAGAAATCAATTTGCCAAATAGGTGAATTTGGAAATACATAGTCCACAGATAATACAGGGATTCTGTGAGTAACACAAGTTAATATATACATCTTTGAATATGGGCAAAAATGTCTGACAGAACACTATCTCTGAGGAGTCATATTAGGTGTGTGGCATAAGAAAGGGTAAATTTTACTTATTTCATACATTCCTGGCTTCATTATTTTTTCTAAACAACAAACAAAAACATGTATTACTTTATTTTAGAAAAGAAAGAAAAAAAAAAAAAACCTTACCAAGGCTAGGAAAGGACCCAGTGAAAGAGCAGAAACCAGGAGAACAGTCAGTCCCAGGGAAAGAACCCGGACAAAGCTGAAGCTGTTCCATCGGACAGAACCATCTACAGAAAAGGAACATTACCATTACTGGGAGCATGAAGAAGTATTCCTTCAGAGCATTTACAGTTATCCAAACAGGACACTAATCCTCTCTTTTGAGATAGGATCTAAGAAGCCCAGGCTGGCCTGGAACTCAAGATCCTCCTGCCTCAGCCTCTGGAGGGCTGGGATTATAACCACAGACAACCACACCCAGATGTGCACAAGCCTTTATGTGGGAACAGCAGAGAAGTCAGGATCAGTAAAGTGTTTATAGGATCAGTAACTGAGAGGAATCTGCTGTGCTTCGTAAAACTCTCCTATTGATAAGCCACTAAGTCAATACAGTTAAGGAAGAAAACAAAAGGTTTTGCTATCATCACAAACTTGCCTGGTTTGCTTGCAGTGAAACAGTAAGATCGCAGCAGATAGATTCCATATGCAGGTGCTACATAGAGATAGATGTGCTTGAAATGTAGGAGGGCAGCAAAGAGAAACGCTCCTTCCACATGTCTCTTCTAGGAGATTCAAAGGGAAGACACACTTTAAAACTCAGTCAATGAAAGGCAATACTGTAATGTCCTGGATTGGATTCTGGGCCAGAAAAAGGACATTAAAAAGCTAGTGAAATTCAAATGAACCAGTGTTGGTTCCTCAATCTTGATGAATGATTAAGTAATATGGTAACATTAGGGGAAAATGAATGAAAGGTATTTAAGAGCTCTGGACTATTTTTGCAGCTTTTCTGCACACTAAAATTATTCAAAAAATTTTATTAAAAATAGAAAAACAAGTTGCTGGGCACAGTGGTGCACACCTGTAATCCCAGCACTTGGAAGGCTGAGGCAGGAGGATTGCAAATTGAAAGCCAGCCTGCGCTATATAACAAGACCCTACATCAAAAAGACAGGAAAAAAAGAAAGAAAGAAAGAAAGAAAAACAACATCTTTTTTGTTTGTTAGAGATGAAGTTTTTTGTTTTTTTTTTTTAATTTTACTGGGGATTGAATTTAGGACCTCGTGCTTGCTAGGCCGATGTTCTACAATTTGAGCCACACACAGTCCTTTTTGCTTTATTTTTCAAATAAGGTCTCGCTTTATGCCTGACCTGGCTGGCTGGACTGGATTTCAATCCTGCTATCTATGGTTCTTGCAGGTGGGATGACAGATGTGTACTACTAAGCCTAGCTTTTAATATTGATTGAGCTGGGGTCTTGCTAACTGCCTGAACTAGCCTTTCAATCATGATTCTTCCAATTTCTACCTCCAAAGTAGCTAGGACTACAGGTGTGAGCCACTGAGCCTGGCTCCCTGAGAGATGAGGTCTTGCTATGATGCCCAGGTTGGACCCAAACAATCTTCCCACCTCAGCTCCTGAGTGCCAGGCTACAGGGCATGCACCACTACATCTAAAGTAATATTCCTAAGTAAGCATGTCCTAAAATACAAGTGAAATATGCTGTCTGAGATGTATTTTTAAATAATTCTCTGTTGTAGATCACTGTATTATTCCACTTCTATGATTTGAATTTTCTATAATAAAGCTGGTGCCCCTGGCTCATGACTGTAATCCTAGCTATTTGAAAGGCCAAGACTGGGAGGATCACAGCTGGAGGCCAGCCCAGGGGAACAGTTCTCTAGACCCATCTCTAAAATATCCAGAGCAAAACGGACTGGCAGTGTGGCTCAAGTGGTAGAGTACCAGCTCTGCAAGTGCAAAGCCTGAGTTCAAAACCTTAGACCCCCCCGCCCAAAAACATACACACACACACACACACACACACACAATTTCTACAACAAAATGCTTAAAATTCAAGGTAAATATTCTAAAAATGATTTAAGTAGAACACAGGCAAGTGATTTCAACAACCTTTTATACTGAGTCTAGTGAGTTCATGCATTTGTTATTTCAATAAATAAGTATTAAGGATGAAGCCTGATGCTGGGATCAGTAACAGTGAACTACCAAATTTTCCTAAGGAGTGTGAGCCTGGAGAGTCCAGTTACCTACCCCTTAAAGGTTTACAATACTTGGAGGTGATTTCCAAAGAGGAGCTGGGAATGAGGATGAATGAATATAATGATGCTGTGCTAAAACAAGAACCTTTTTTCTGGGTGACACTAGCATTTGAACCCAAAGCCCCAGGCATGTTAGGCAAGCACTCAACCACTAAGCCACATCCCTACCCCCCCTAAAAAATATTTAAGTCTTTTTTACCCTCCCCCCCCACCGCCGGTTAAGATAAGCGATCTCACTATGCTGCCCAAGCTGGTCCTGAACTCCAAGGCTCGTTATTCTCCTATTTCAGCCTTCCAAGTAGCTTGGCAAATATGTGCACACCACTATGCTAAGCTAAATCTTAGTATTACAAATCTGGTAACTTACTATCAGACTAAAGACAAGGTATAGTTTGTCAGACTAGGTCCTGACAAACTACCTAGGAGATAAAGAAATAAAACCAGAGCCAGGTGCTGGTGGCTCATGCCTATTATCCTAATTACTCAGGAGGCAGAGATGAAAAGGATCATGGTTTGAAGCCAGTCCCAAGCAAATAGTATGCAAGACCTTATCTCAAAAAAATCCATCACAGAAAAGGATGGCTGGTGGAGTGGCTCAGGTATAGGCCCTGAGTTCAAACCCTAGTACTACAAAAAAAAGGAAACAAAACTACTCATGAGTGGTGGTGCATGCCTTTAATGCCAGCAACTCTGGAGGCAGAGATTGGGAGGATCAAGGTTTGAGGACAGAGTGGTTGAAAAGTTAGCAAGATTCCCATCTCAACAAATAAGCCACGCTGGGTGGCATATGCCTATCATCTCAGCCATTTGGGAAGTGAAGGTATAAGGATCACAGCATGCCAGCCCTGGACAAAAAGCTTAAGACTCTAATTTGAAAAATAAGCATCCCAAAAAAGGATTGAGGGTATAGCTCAAGTTGTAGAGCACATGCCTAGCAAGTTCAAGACACTGAGTTCAAATCCCAGTACTGCTAAAAAACAAACATCAAAAACAAAAACCTGAGTTAACTATAAGTGAAGAAGTCTGAATTCTACCTACCTCACAGAAATTTTGTAAGGCTCAAACGTGGTAATTGGTCCTGGTGTTCAGCAAAGGAAACTGCCAAAGGGACCACAAAGGCCAACTTCCTTTTCCCACTGTCTCATCAAGTGTATCTAGAATAGGTTGGGATAGGAATAACAAGGAAATAGAATGGATGCTCCCAGATCTCTCTCTGCCAATTTTAGAACTCATGATTCAGATGAGGTCTACCTGATTACATAGTCACATTTTAGCTCATTTATTCAAGAGCCATCCAATAATTACTCATTGAATACCAATTATGTTTTGGGGGATTTTCTGAGAAAAGGTCTTGCCATGGCCTTAAACTCACAATTCTGTTGCCTGGTGCTGGGATTAAAGATATGTACTGCCATGCTTGACTACTATGTGGCTTTTTATGGTTAAAAGAGGAAAGTTTATCTAGATATTTATAGTTGACAAGTTTATTTTTTTATTTTCCTTTTCTTTAGTACAGGGGATTCAACCCAGGCCCTCATGCTTGCTAAGCAAGTGCTCCATTGAGCACCACTGAGCTACATCTTCAGCCCCTATGGTTGACAAAGACTGCTAAAACAGATCATCAAATTCAATCTTTCCAAAGTCCCTGTAATAAGCAGTCCCATTTTACCAAAAAAAAAAATAATAATAATAACAATATAGAGTTAAATTGTGTCTTATAGATGAGAAAACCAAGGCTCAGAGAGTTCAATGACTTGCCTTCGGCCAAAGGCTCCCAAGCCTCATGTGCAGTATATCAAAATTCCTTGGGCGATTCCTAAACTCCAATTCCAGAGATTCTGATTCAGTATCAGGAGAAGGGGCCCAGAAATCAGAATTTCTGATTTCCTTCTCCATAAGAGCAGGACAATAATTAAGACAATTATAATGTCAGGCACTGGTGGCTCACGCCTGTGAGCCTAGCTACTTGGGAGGCAGAAATCAGTAGGACTGCAGTTGAAGGCCAGCCCGGGGAACCAGTTATTGAGACCCTATTTCAAGAAAACCCATCACCAAAAAAGGGCTAGCATCCAGGTTTCTGGAGTGTAGTAGTTATCACATTCTCCTTACAAATTAGGGCAAGTAGAATGGCTCAAGTGGTAGAGCACCTGCCTAACAAGCATGAGGTCCAGAGTTCAAACTCCAGTACTATGCGAGCATACACACACACACACACACACACACACAAAGACAGTTACACAGAACATTTGTGAGGTTGTAATTTATCTGAAGCAGCCAATGCACTTGTGTTAACCCTGCCTGAATCACACATTATTGTTAGTCAGGATTACAAACCAGGTCTTCCAATTCCAAATTCTGTACCTTCCATCAGGCTAGTCTTGAAGCCTCTGATGGGAAAGCACCACCATCATAGTTATTGTATTATAAAAACTGTTGGAGATGTCACCATACAGAAATGATCTCAACCAAACACAGAACTCAAGCTTAATTCAGGTCCGCCTGAATTAAGTTTTTAGAATATAATTAAGTTTTTAGACTATAATTTTCTCATCTATAAAAGGAAGAAAATTATTGTCAAAAGAAAAGATAGAATTTGTGAAAAGAGCCTACATGTCTATGGTACTTGGAAACTTTAAACAGTGGGTCAAATACATAATTCATCACCCACTACAGTGTTGTCTTTATAAGCTAAAAACTACAGGGGGAAAAATCTAATTAGGCATTTGGGTGTTTACCTGAAATAACCGTGCAATGGAGAGTAGCATTAATCCAAATAAAAACCCATTATACTGGAAATGGATATCTGGAGAGACATCAAGGCAAGACAACAGAGGACACCAAATTCACAATGAACCACGCCAGCTGAGTACAGAAACTACAAATGCTTCCTTAACAGGTGAAGACAAAAGTACTATTATTAATTTGGGCTTCTCATAAATGTGTTTTCTATAAACACAGTTAAATCCTGGAAAAGTCTCTAACTGCAATTTACACTTAAGGAAAAAACCAGAAAACTTTGCCATGTTTTTTTCCCTACCTTTAAGGTCCAGCAGCTAAGGGGAAATTTTTGGTTTTTTTTTAGAATTAGGAATAAAAAGTGAAGAGACCCAACAGCTACTGAAACTCATTAGCAAGCAGCATTCCATTGTTTTTTTTGAGCTTTTTTTTGTTTTATTATCTTGTTTTTTTTGAGATGGGGTCGTAATATGTAACTCAGTGCTGGGATGACAGTGCGACCATGCCTGACTCTTGCACTGTTTGAAGTACATGCAATCTTACTTATTAAACCTCACAGTGAACCTGTGAGGAAGTAAGGCTTGGAGACATTATTCTAGTCATGGTCCTGAAGCTACCATGACAACATAACCAAGATTTGAGTCAGGTCACACTGAAACCAAATTCTAGGGTACCTTTATAAACACTGCAAAATATTAGACTTCTAACATTAGGATTCTGATTACATTCAGATCCTTTAAGAATTTTATTAGTATGTGGTAAGTCAAATGGTAGAAAAACATGAAGGCCTTGGCTGTTCTCACATTAACACTATGATATGCCCTCTTCTAGAAAAGGTGTTTAGAATATGCTACAAAATTGTTTAATATACACATGGGTTTGGATTTATGGCAGGCCCGTCCATCTGGGCAGAGCAATATGGTATCATGCATAGTATCCCATGCCAAAGCAAACTGTGGCTCTGAACCATTGCCTGGTTTCTTCCTGTAGGTTGCTGGCAGTGAAGTGGGTAGCACAGTGGGGGAAAATATTGTTTAGTGTGTGTGTGTGTGTGTGTGTGTGTGTGTGTGTGTGTGTGTATTAAAGACAGGTAACAAATCTCAGTGTGTATGTGTTAATATACTGATATGTGTGTGTGTGTGTGTGTGTGTGTGTATTAAAGACAGGTAACAAATCTCAGTGTGTATGTGTTAATATACTGATGTACACAGTGTGTATATATTTTACTGATGGTTTAACTGGTTCACTTCAGGGACAAAGTGTTCTAACAGTCAGAGTGCAATAAATTTGGGCCTGGAGTACAGTTTTAGGAGCCCACTAGTCCACTGCTTTCAAAAGCAGGCCACATTTAAGAATCATTGTTATATAAGCATCAATCTTCCATTAGTATATACCAGAATAAGTAAGGGAATAGCACACAGAATGTCAAGGATACGGTCCACAATTAACAACCCGAAGTTCCACAGCAGTATCACTGAGAGAATAAACTTTGGCTTCTCTGTAAGTTCTTTCCCCGCTTTTTTCCCATCAATGCATTTACAGCACCTACAATGACACATTAGGAAAAAACCAAACACGACTTTGATTTTCATTAGAAAATCACAATATTTTTTTGCAGAGTACACAATGGTACATTTTAGGAGCCATTCTGACAAACTGTGTATGCCAACCTTAGTTACTTGAAAAGGGCAGCAAAGACAAGACCTTACAGTCAATTGCACATCTTTCTCAGCTACGCTGACCTGAAACAAAGTCTTCATTTAATAAAACTAAAAATTAAAAATAGCAACCCCCAAGCCCCAAGATAAGGATTTTTTCGGGGGAGGGGGTTGTATTGGGGTTTTGAATTCAGCGTTTCATACTTTTAATGTACGTGCTCTAGTTGAGCTACACCCCCAGCCCAAGAAAAGGATTTGAAAAAAAAAAATCCTTAAGAGGGCACACATTATTTCAGTCCTTAAGAGTAAAAAACGCAGAGGCTGGTTTGGTAGCTCAGTGGTAGCGTTCACGCTTAGCATGGCCATGGCCCAGGGTTCAATCCCAGGTCTTCTCAAAAAGAGTAACAAATGCAGATCAGTGTGATTATCACTTTAAACTATGTATGAGACCAGCTAAATTAAGAATAGAGCTGCAAATCCTCATCATTCAAATAATAATAAAAAACCATGTAAAAATGTTTGTCACTTAAATGCTGAGATATATAAAGTGACAACAGCAGATGACTGAACAATATAATCCCATTTTTATTTCATAAAAATTGTATACAGATACTGAAAAGAGACTGAAGTAATATGTAGCGAAATGTTAGTGATCATAGGAGGGAAAGTGTGGGGTCATTTTTAAACTTTGTGTGTATGCTTTTCAGAATTTTTGATGAATGTATATTATTCTATAAAAACATGCTTACATTGTGTTACAAATTCTAAAAATAAAGAAATCTAAAACAAACAATAAAATCAAAAATCTTCTTATGAACAGACAGTGCTCTTACAGAATTGAGAAAATTAAATAAACTAATAATCTAACTGGATGTGGTGGCACACACCCGTTCAAGGCCCGTTCAGGCAGAAGCTTGTGAGACCCTATCTCAAACACAAGTTGGGCATGGTGGGACATACCTCTAATCACAGCACGTATTAGTCAGAGGTAAGGTCACCCTTGAGGCTGACCTCAAAAGTGTGAAAAACTAAAAGCAAATGGACTAGGGACAGAGTGCTTGCCCAGCAAGTTTAGGCTCCAGTACTGCCAAACAAACAAACAATCCATATGTAGTGCCTGGTTCTAGAAACTAGCATACAGATTTCAGCAATCCTATTTAAGTGCTCCCCCTACTTTGCATGTGGAAATGAATTCTACCTGCTCTCCCTTTCTGCCTGGAGAGTAAACTCAAACATTTTCAGTTAAAGTGTATGCATGCTGGTGCTGGTGGCTCACACCTACAATCCTAGCTACCGGGGAAGCAAAGATCAGGAGGATCGTGATTCAAGGCCAGCCAGAACAAAAAGCAAGACCCTATCTCAAAAGAAATACCCAAAGCACACAAAAAAAGGACTGGTGGAATAAAACATTCCCAAGGGACTCTTTCCTGACTGCGGCAAGGGTTCAATGTGGAGGGCCTCACTAACAGAAATGATCCATTTATGGCAAGGGTGATTGAATGGACATCAGTTACTGCTGTTGTGATCACACCATGGCCTTAAAGTGTGACAGAGTGGAAGCCAACATCTATTGAAAACAGCATTTAGAAGATGCTGTACAAGACATATATGTGTATTTAACTACTTTTAAGTTATAAGTAAAAAATGTAAAGCGTAAAATGTAAACATAACTTAATATAATGAAGTCTTCATGAAGACAAGAATCCAGAAACAATGAAAAACCCCAGTAACATTTCTTGAGTTTACAAGAGTGCAGCCCCCTATTAGTAGGCTTTGGTGGCTAGCACAGTGGATGTGGATGTACTATGTGTATGTGTGTCAGACAAGGCAGATCACAGAAGCTTCTGGGGGCTTGCCACAAGAAAGTAAAGAAGAGCACATGCATATATTTTGCGTGGGAGAAATGGTCCTGAAATTCTACTTGGACTATATTCACAATCTCTTCTTAGGCCTCTGCCATATCCCCATTTCTTCCACAAGACTCTGTTAGATTGCTTATTGTAATTTCTCATGTAGCTTCACATACGACTCAGTTTTTCAATGTTTTAGCATTTGCTAGTATATGATCTTTATTTCCTCTAAATCAGGAATAAGCTAATGCTATTTAACCCTTTATTTCGTCAGTACGTTTCACACAAATACCCGCAACATGACATTTCCCAGACTTACTCGTGGACAGCATACACAAAGAGTGCATCTGTAAAGATGACAGAAAACCTCTGGAAAAGTAAGGTCATTGGGCTGGAGTAGTTCAGATTCTTGACATTAAGCATCTCTTCATCAAAATATTTGGCAACATGTGACAGGACATACTCAAACCATGCAAAAAAGGGGGGGTAGTCCAAGGTCCACTCTGAAGTTGCCTGTGATAAAAAAATCAAAGGAAAAATGTATCCTAAGTAACCAAGCAAACAAGGAAGCTGCAAAGATTTAAAATTTTTCACTCCCTGATCATTTAAAAAAAAAAGCACAATGAAATGAAATTGCATTAAAAATAATGCCCTAAATATACAGAGCAATTCCTATATAAAAAGGACTAAAACGAAAAGGGTGTGGTGTCACAGGTATGTAATCCCAACACTTGAGAGGCTGAGACAGAAGGATCAAGAGTTTGAGGTCAGCCTAGGCTATGTTATAAGACTCTGCCTCAAAATTATGAATTAAAAAAAATTATTACTATTATTGTAGTATGTCCCTAAAAATAAACCTAGGCCTTGCACCTGGAAGAATTGAGACAGTAATCATAACTCCCATACTCTGCAAGTGTAACCCTTTTTAGTGGACAATTCTTTCTCTACAAATATGGGCACTGGGTACTGACTGGATACCCACAGGGACTGCTGTTCAGGGTTTCTTAGGGATTGAAAACAAAAAAAGAGGTGAAACAGTCTGAGACAAAATACTTGTTAGCTCTCTGTTCATCTTTACTTTTTTTTTAAAGTGGTGGTCATTTCTTCTTTTTTCATTTTTTGGTGGCACTGGGAGTTGAACTCAGAACCTGTACACTTGCTGGTTAGGCACTCTACCATTTGAGCCACACTGCCAGCCTACTTTTGTTTTTTATTTCTTCCTTTTTTGCAGTGCTGGGGATTGAGCTCAGGGCTTTGTGCATGCCAGGCAAGTGCTGTACCACTCAGCAACATTCTCAGTCCACCTCTGTTTATAATGAAGATGAATGACAGATAGCCTGTTTACTCCCCCTGCCTGTATAAACTATAGAAGCCTTAGATAATCCAAGGTAAACCCAGAGGCTCTCTGTCAGGGCATTTAGACTAATAATCCACTTACTAAGTTGTATTCCACAAAACATTCCTCTAATGCCAAGTCACTAATGTGGAATAGTGGCTAAAGTGGTAGAGTGCCTGCCTAGCAAGCATGAGGCCCTGAGTTCAAATCCTAGTGCCGTAAAAAAAAAAGTTAGACATTGTTTTTTAATTTCATCCTTTTAAAATTTCTTTTGTACAATATAGGCTAATTAAATAAAGATAGTGTCAAATACACAAATTTGGGATGAATAAACAGCTTATCAATATTGATAAAAAACTCCATAATTTCCATTGTAACAGGATAGTAACCGATCAGTGCCTTCATAACATAAAGCCATATTGGGCAGAAAATGCTCAAAAATGATTTCTTGCTAGTGTATGTATAATTCCTGTTCATATAATTCTAAGAAATTTAATATCAGTTAATTTACAGTTTCTAGTTACAATTTCAAATGTCAGAGTTCACGCTATCCTTAAAGTGCCATTTTTTTTAAGTCTTAAGATTTTCTGACTTTATTTCACTGACATATTTATATACTTTAAAACTGGGAAGGACTAGAAGTGTGGCTCAAGCAGTACAGCGACTGCTTTGCAAGTGTGAAACACTAAGCTCAAACCCCAGTCCCACCAAAACAAACAAACAAACAACTTTATAGTACATTTGCTGGGCGCTGGTTCTCATGCCTATAATCCTGGCTACTCAGGAGGCAGAGATCAGGAGGATCACAGCTTGAGGCCAGCTCAGGCAAATAGTTCTGAAGACCCTATCTCAAAAATACCCAACACATGGAGGGGCTGAATCTGAGATATATTGTAAGCACATATATAAATATCACAATGTATCACCCTGTACAGGTATTAATGCTAATAAAATAATAACAAAAAATCCAAAATAAAAAGGGCTGGTGGAGTGGCTCAAACAGTAAGAGTGCCTGCCTAGCAAGCATGAAGCCCTGAGTTTAAACCCCAGTGCTGAAAAGAAAAGGGGCCGGAATGGGAAACATTGAAAGAAATGGAGCGCTGCCTAAGAAATCGTCATTTCCCCAAAATAAAATGCCCTTGTGCTTCCTTTTTGACCTCGTCGCCCTACATTCCTCAGAGCCCCTCTCTACACTTCTACTTCCCACAGACACTTTCCAAACTGGACCCACAGACCTTCTTTACCTCCAGGTGTCATCTGGGGCCATCTTCTTACCTAAACAGCTTCTGGGAGGCCAGTGTAGCTGTTTGCTATTTCCCTCAGTCAGTTCTCTACAAGATGCTGGAGGGGAGACTTAAACCGAGGGCTCTAGCCTACACGTGCATCAGCTCAGGAAGCTACCACCCAGAGCTAGTGCTTCAAATACCGATACACCCAACCTATACATACAAACAGGTGTTTGTGTCATTCAACAGACACCGATGAAAGGGCTTTCTGGTGTCTTTCCTGAGCAGGTGATCAATTTAATTTGAGGTAAAAGTTATGTGGGGTACATTGGTCTGTAATCCTAGCACTTGGGAAGCTGAGCCAAGAAGATTGTGAGTTCAAGACCAGCCTAGGCTATATGGCCTTCAAAAAAAAAAAAAAAAAGACCAAAATGGAAAAAGAAAAGAAAAGCAAAGCCATAACTAACGAGGCCTCCACAAAGCAATTCACTCTCACATGTCCACCCTTCCTGGGATGGCATGAAGATCCTACCTGTCCACCCTTTTCTCCTACTAAGAGCCTCCTTGGCAAGCTAGTGAGTTTTTCTTCTTATTGGTTTTTGTTGCTTGTTGGCAGAAAGAACAAGGAAGTATACCGTTACTAGAATCTCTTTTAAATAAACCTAAATTCTATCTAAAATAAAAGACATAGGAGACACCTCTAGCACAAATACTGTTTTAGGAGTTATAGGAGAAAACGAGAGAACATGCAGAAAGAATTATAGAATTAAAGGAGAAAAGGACTACAAATAGAACCTCAGGGAGTAGCAGCTCTTCTTCTTCTTCTTCTTTTTTTTTTTTTTGTGGTACTGGGGCTTGAACTCAGGGCCTATACCTTGAGCCACTCCACCAGCCCTTTTTTTTGTGTGTGTGTTAGGTATTTTCGAGATAGGTTCTCATGAACTGTTTGCCCAGGCTGACATCGAATCACAATCCTCCTGATCTCTGCCTGAGTGGCAAAGATTATAGGCGTGAGGCACTGGCATCTAGCTGAGTAGCAGCTTTTTAGGGGTGTGAAAATGAAGAAGAGCTAGCAAAGGAGCCTCAGAAGGAACAGAGAGGAAGGGGAAAATGGCTGAGAGCCATTACACTAATAATGTTAATTAGTAATTAACAGTGTGTGCATGGTTGTCCATTTTACCTCAGTAGTTATTGTCATTTCGTAATTAGGGACACTGAAGCTTTTTTTGAAAGGTCAAGGGGCAGGAGCAGGAGGGAGAAATGACCCAAACAATGTATGCACATGTGAAAAATGAATAATAATAATAAAAAAAAAAAGAAAGAAAGGTCAAGCATCTTGCCCATGGTTACCCGGCACAGTCATTAACTGGCAGACCTGAAAGACCCAGGCAGTCTGAAACCACAGTCTAACTTTTGTCTACGAGACCATATATTGCTTCTCCTAGTTGGTATCCACACATGCAAACTAAATACTTCAAGCTAAAGCAATCACTCAACCCACTTAAAGTCCACCAGCATTTCTATCAAATATTTACAGTGTTACTGTGTGAGAATAAACTTGGTCCCTTAAGACAGTTGTGCTCAGGCTTTCTCAGTACAAAAGGCTATTCTTGGGGGTGGGGGCAGGAGGGAGAAATGACCCAAGCCTTGTATGCACATATGAATAATAAAATTAAAAAAAAAACAAAAGGCTATTCGTGGCTCAAGCAGTAGAGTACTTACTAGCAAGTGCAAAGCCCTGAGTTCAAACCCCAGTTCTGCCCCGCCCTTCCCCCAAAAAGGGCTATTCTGAGTTGACAAAACAAAATAAAAGGCAATATTCACATAAAACCCCTTAAATCTCTCAGGGCTGGGTGTGGTGGTGCATGCCTGTAATCATAACTACTCAAAAGGCAGGAGTAGGAAGATCACCATTCCATGAACCCAGGCATAAGTGCAAGACGCTCTCGGGGCATGGCTCAAGTGCTAGAGCACTTGCCTAGCTAGCTTGAATCCCTGAGTTCAATCCCTAGTACTGAAAATAACAACACACACACACACACACACACACACACACACACACACACACACACACGTGTGCACTTTTGATCAGGATATTCCTGCATTTCTGAGGTGATATTGCTTTTCATGAAGTACCATGTGTAATTTAGTAATTCCTACCAGAAATATAAACACAGACATGGTTTTTAAAAAATAAATAATAGGAGCAAGAACTGGTTTGTATATTACACTGTATCTACACATCACATCTATTATTCCTTTCCTCACGAAAGCAGGGACAGACAAGACCTTAGAAATGATTCATTCTAGATCTTTATGTGCCAGGAGGGAAATGCCCAGAGTGATGAAGTATCTTGTCGCTGACTATATTAGTAATTAGTGGCAAAGCCAGGCCTAGAATTCAATTTTTCCTCTTTCCCAATCCAATGTTCCTTCAAAAAAGTGTTGGAGATTCCCAGTTTACAGAATGGGAAAATCATTTGGAAGGGGATTCCCTAATGGCTTCACAAGATAGAATCAAGGAAAGAACACAATTTTTATAAAGATTAATTAGAGATGATTAAATAGAAATCTGTTTTAATAGCCTTTTCCCCCCAACGCTGGGGATCCAACCAAGGGCTTCATGCATACTGGGCAAGTGCTCTACCCTTGAGCTACAGTGGCAGCCCAGGAAACCTGTTCCAACATCAATAATATTTAGGTGGTTTTACATATCAACTTTTTTTTTTTTTGAGATGGGGTCTCACTGTGCAGCCCAGACTGGCCTTGAATTTGCCATCTTCCTGCCTCAACATCCCTAGTGCTGGAATTAGACATGGGCCACCACTCTCAGCTTATACATCATCTTAAAAAAATAATAAAAAAGATGAAAATTAAAACTTACCTCATAATACCATTGTGATACTGGCAAACTGTAAGTGATAGCAAGCCAGTTTCGGTGTACTTCAAAATCTGTGGAATGACTATGCAAAGCAATTAGATGAAAAAAATGAAAATGTGAAACATTTATCAACTTATTTCTATAATTTAAATTAATAATTTAAATAGACCAACACCCCCTAAGCAGTCACTGCTCGCTATTCTATGACACAAACAGGAATTCAGTCTTGACACAACTCCCTTCTCTGGAGATCAGGTCAGACCTCCTGCTGAAGCTGCTGGGGATCTAGAAGCCAGTGAAAAGGGCCTAAAGCTACCTAAAGGGAGATCTTCAGGCCACTGCTCAGAAGTGACTTTCTCTTGCTCACAAACAGTTCTAACAAAATTCAGTATCTGGAAAAGGCCTCACATATAAGGTGGATCTTTAAGGACAAGTAGGAGCTCACCAACTAGAGAAGGCCATTGCCCTGTCATCCCCACATCTCCAAATTTTCTCTCTTCCATCTCTGGAGGATTTGTGTTTGTTTGTTTATCCACAGTGTACCTATCCTCCAAGGATGGGCTCAATACATTCTTGTCAACAGGTTACATAACAAAGCCTGTTTGCACTTTCCAGTATGTCTGACACTTTTCCATGGTGACAACTTTCTCCTAAGTCTCCTTGCCTCCCCTTTCTCAGTCTTATTCATGGCTTTCTCTTTCTGTGTTTGTCAAGTAAATGTTAATGTTCCCCTAGGTTTAGTTCTTGGTTCTCTTTTAATGCAACTTGTTCTACTTTGGACAATCTTACTCTCTTTTTGGTTCCACTGTCAATTACATAACGATAATTCCCAAATTGTAATATAGAATTTGGGTCTTTTTCCTGAGTTCTTGAGAGACATCTCCAACTTCCTGAGACGATTTCACTTAAATTTCTTCTTCAAGTCACCACACTGAGCTGATAACCCCAGCAACTTCATTTCTAGGTGTATACACAACAGAAATGTATACATAAGCATACACACAAAAGACATGTACTATATAAGAATGCCCAGCCAGGTGCCAGTGGCTCCCGCCTGTAATCATAGCTACCTGTGAGGTTGAAATTAGGAGGATCAAGGTTTGAAGACAGTTTGCAAGACCCCATCTCCAAAACAGAGCAAAATGCACTGGAAGTGTGGCTCAAATGGCAGAGCACCTGCTTTGAAAGCCCAAAGCCCTGAGTTCAAATCCCAATCCCACAAAAAAAAAGAATGTTCAAAGTGGCACTATTTGCACCAGATAAAAGTGTAGATAATCCAAATGTTCACAAACAGTAGAATGGCTAAACTGTGTTAGATTCATATGAAAGAATACTATAGGATGGGGAGGTAGCTTAGTGGTAGAGTCCTTGCCTAGCATGCACAAGGCCCTGCATTCTTCGATGCAGCAGTTCCCTAACTGTGATTTAGGCACTCCCAGGGAGATCCTTTCAGGGAGTGTGAAAGGCCAAAGCTATTTTTGTAACATCTGGATGTAATCTGTTCATTTTTCACTCTTCCTTCTCTCGCAAGCAAGTACTCTACCACTTGAGCCATGCCTCCAGCCTGTGGGGTATATTTTCATGATTCGTGCTTCTGGCATATTTTACTTGATTGGGTATAGAATTCTAGGTTGAAAATTACTTTCACTTAGAATTTTGAAAGTTGTTTCCCTGGCTTTTAGTATAAAATGTTAAAGATGAGAAGCCTTGTTCCTTTTATATTGCCTTTATCTCATGTTTTTGTTTCTTCTTTTTATCCCTAGCAGTCTGAAATTTCTAGTGATTTATGTTTTAGTGAGTCTTTTCCTATTCATTATGTGGGAAATTTTATTCCTTATCTCTTCTCTGTTTTCTGTTTCTTTTTTTGAAACTTTTTAGTTGGATCCTAGACCTCCTGTATTGAACTTTTTTATGTGTGTGTGGTACTGGGGTTTGAACTCAAGACCTACACCTTGAACCACTCTACCACCCCTTTTTTGTGATGGGTTTTTTTCAAGATAGGGTCTCAAAAACTATTTTCCCTGGCTGGCTTTGAACTACAATCTTCCTGATCTCTGCCTCTTGAATAGCTAGGATTACAGGCATGAGCCACTGGTGCCCAGGTGAACTAATTCTTATCTTTTCTCTCATATTTGTGGAAGATTTACTCAACTTATCCCTTTTCATTTTAGGGATAAAAAGCAATTACATTTTCTTTTTGTCCACTATTGCTGAGATAAAGTCTTGCTATGTAGCCCAGGCTGACCTTGATTTCACAATCTCTAAATGCTGCAAATCCCAAATGCTGGAATTACAGGCATTTGCCATCACACCCAGCCTATATTTTCTATTTTTTGGTGGTACTGGTGGTACTCAGGCTCTCATGCTAGCTAGGCAGGTGCTCTACCATTTAAGCCACTTCATCAGCTCTTTTTTTGTGTTGGGCACTTTTGAGATAGGATCTTGAAAACTGGCCTCAAACCTCTATTCTTCTGATCTCTGCCTCCGGAGCAGCTGAACAGCTAAGAGTACAGGCATAAGCCACTGGCCCCAGCAATGTTTCTATTTTTAAGTATTTTATTCTTTGATAATTCCTATTTCTCAGTTTTATGGATATACCTTTTTTACTCTTTCTGAAGATAGCATTTAAAAGATCTGAAGGAACTTCAGGACATTTTTCTTAATTGCACTATATTGATTTCCTTTTTTTTTTTTTTTTTGGTAGTTATTTGCTTATTTCCTCTTGGAAGCTGTTGGAGACTTCACTTTGTGGTAACCTGGTAGACAGCTGAGTTTCACTAGGAGATCACTAAAAACTAGTAAAGATCTTTTCTCTGGGGTTCTTTCAATTTTCCCAGAAAACAAACCTCTTACTGCAGATTTTTTGTTTTGGGGTTTTTGTTTTTTTTTCTTTTTTTAAAGTGTAGCCAACCAATTTCTCAGTTTTAAATCCATATATCCAAGCCTTGAACCCCCCTCTAGAGTTCTGCAACGCATATGGACTGTTCTTGTCTATCCTCCTCTGCAAGCATGCTGGGTGGAAGGTTCCTATGCTTTGCTATTGGAACTTATGCTTGTATATTCTTGTGCTTTCAATTCTGAGTTCTCCAATTTCTAGAATGTAAGTATTTGTCATACAGCAAACATAAACATATAGCTCCTTGGGGGCCTTAATGATTTCTAAGAGATGAAGGGATGTAACCAAAAAACTCAAGAAGAGTTACTCTACAGTGACAAGAATGAACAAGTTGTAATCTTATGCAAGGACACACAAACTCAATGTTCAGTGAAAGAAGCCAGGCTCAAGAGAACATATGGAATGATTCCTTTCAGATACATCTCAAAAACAGGCAAAATTTAACCTAAGGAATTAAAAATCCATTGTGGACCAAGGACAGTATTCAAAGTTACAACCCTGAAGATGCATTTCTAAGCTAAAGTAATCAAAGCAAGAAATACAATCTATACACACACACCCCTACAGTTTCAAAGAAAAAAAAATCCCTTTCATTCTGATGTGAAAGGAAATGTCTTATATTTTAGAAAGATCTTTCCAATTTGTTTTTAAAATGGAAAGATTTTGTTTTCAGTTATGCTTTTTTGCTGACCAATCCCCTTTTCCCCCCCGAAGTCTCTGTAAATTACTTTGCTGAACCTACACGTTACAATGTTCATAGAATTACACACACACAACAGCATGGACATACATTCTATACGTATGGCTCCCCCATATCCAAAAACCATCTACCCAACAAATCATCAAGGGCTTAAATCAAAGAATACCAATAAACCAAACCCTAAACCAGGAGGCGGGAGGATCTGCAAGGAAGGGAGAAGAATGGGGTGGTGAGGTAGGAGGCACGAAGGGAAGGCAGAAGCTCACATTAATATTAACACCGAGTACCCACTGTACACACACCACTACCTGGGTGTTCTGGTTTCCACGCTTTCAGTTTTGGCCCTGTACCCATTTTTCACACAACCTCGAAGTGGAACGCGCTGAGATCTTTCTACCACAGTCCTTTTGCGCTTACTCTTTCCTATGCCTGACCTGCTTTTTACAAAACATTCTTTTTCATACTTTGGACTTTAACTCAAACATCACCTCCTACAAACGACTAAAGCCCTGCCACGTAGTCACTATTTTCTTTACACATCTTATCACAATCTGAAACTTTCGCGTTTGTTTGCCTGCTGTCACCAACCCCACGGAAGACAAGGTCCACAAACGTCTCGCTGACCACGCCATCCTCAGGTTTGCGGACAGAGCCTGGCGCCACAGGTAGCCCGTAGCGCTGACTGCATGAATGGTCTAAGTGAGGGTCCAAAATAAGGACTCTGAGGCACAGAAACTTTGAAAATGGCTTTCCCCGAGCCAAACAGCATCAGGACTCCACCTGGACAGTCAGGGTTACGTTCTAGTTGTCAGTCAAGTAACAACCCGCGCAGTGGGAAGCTTAGCAAAGGGGCTGTAGTGGCCACACGACTACGTTCCCTTTCCTCCTCACACCAGGGATGTCTGCCCTGGCCTTCCCGCCCAGCCCATGGGCGTACAGATCCTTACTAGGTGGGAATGAGAAGGCATTTGAGGAGGGTCACCCCGAGCGCCAAAGCTGAAAACCAATGGCCACTACCAGCTGCACCTCCGAGCACCGCCATTACCGCAGCCCCGCTCACTTTGAATCAAGATGATCCACATCCGGGCTCCCGCGCATGCGCGGAAGGACCTTCGAGGCGGTGCCCAGGGGGTGCGCGCATGCGCCAGGCCGCCCAGCGGGCAGGAGGCGGGAGCGCAAGGCTTTTAAACATCCTGTAGCGGTCTCCCCACCGCTTGTCCCCTGCGCGATTGGGGCCGTTCCTCTGTTCCTGGAAGCACTGAACTAATAGAGATGGCGTCGGGGCTGCTGATGCAAGGGTGGAGGCACAAGCAATGGAATTAGTCTTGTCTCTGCTGTGCATCGGGTGGTCTTGGACAAATTAAACCTCAGCTTCCTTTTTTGTAAGTAGGGGTTAGAAATGAATTTTACCTCATGAGGTGGTTGTGAGAATTAAGAGAATGCATGCAAATTGCTTGCCTAATGCCACAACAGATTAAGCGCTCAGAGACTGGAGGCGTGTTTCAAGTGATGGAGCACCTGCCTAGCAAGCTTGAAGTCCTGAGTTCAAACGCCCATATCATCAAAAATATAAGTGTTTGGAATTGTTTCAGATAAGTCAAAAACCTTGCTGAAAGATGCACAGCAAGTAGATGTTATTATGAGTTTATGCACCCCCCACAGCTTCATCTGCCACCCACGTAAATATGATGCTCAAACTTGTATCTCAAGCCTACCCTTCTTGTCTTATATCCAAACCCTTATCTCCAACTGCCTGCCTGACATCTCGTAGGTGCTTTTAAAAGTTTTTCTTATTTGCTTTTGGTTTTTTGTTTTGTTTTTTGGCAGTACTGGGGTTTGAACTCAGAGCCTCACGCTAGCTAGGCAGGCACTTTACCACATGAACCACTCAGCCAGCTCCATATTTATTTATTTTTGCAGTGCTGGCAATTGAGCCCAGGGCATCATGCCTGCTAGTTAAGCACACTACCACTGAGCTACATCCTCAGCCTCTTACCTTTAAAAATTATTGTTGTTATTATTAATTTAAGATCTTTTTGAGACAGGGTCTCTATAGGTAATCTAGACTGGCCTGGAACTCACTATGTAGCCCAGACTGGTCTGGAATTTGCAATGTTCCTGCCTCAACTTTACAAGTGCTGAATTACAGGGGTTTGCCTATAAACACTTTGCATTAGTTTCCTATTGCTGCTGTAACAAATTATTACAAAGCCAGTAGCTTAAGACATCACAAATTTATTCTCTTAGTTCTGTGGAACTAAGAGAAAGTCTACCTTGGGTAAAGTCAGGGTATCATTAGGGTTGGTTCCTTTTGGAGGCTGAGGGGAGAATCCATCTTATCTTTTTTGGCTATTAGAACTTGTCTGCATTTGTTTTTTCCAGTACTAGGTTTGAACTCAGGGCCTACACCTTGAGCCACTCCATTAGCTCTTTTTTGTGATGGGTTTTTTCAAGATTGGGTTTCTCGAACTATTTGCCTGGGCTGGCTTCAAACCGAGATCCTCCTGAGTAGCAAGGATTACAGGTGTGAGCTACCAACACCTGGTTTGCCTGCATTCTGTAACCCCTCCCTCACAAAAATCCAACATCTTTTTTCTGTCCACACAATCTAACTTTTTTTGGTGGTACTAGAGTTCGAACTCAAGACCTCATGCTTGCTAGGCAGGCACTCTACCACTTGAGCCTCTCCATCACCCCTTTTTTGTGGTGGGTATTTTCGAGTTAGAGTCTCTCAAGCTATTTGCCCAGGCTGGCTTTGAACAGTGATCCTCCTGATCTCTGCCTCCTGAGAACAGGTTTGAGTAACTGACACCTGGTACAATCTCACTTTTCTCTAATCAAATCTCCCTTTGCTTCCCTCTAATGAGGACACTTGGGACATTTAGGGTCTACCGTATAATACAGAGTAATCTCTATCTCAAGATCCTTAATTTAATCACATGTGCAAAGTCCCTTTGGCTTATAAAGTGACACTCATAGGTTTTGGGGATTAGAATGTGGATGTGTTTGGAGGCCTTTATTCAGTTTACCACATGCCTCAAACTCAATATATCTAAAACCAAACTCATGATCTTTCAGTATCATCTACTCAGAAAATGATACCAACCACCCAGTTTGCCTCCTCCCTGCACCTGCTGATTGTGATACTCAATATGTCACGTTGATTTTCAAATTCCTGCACTCAAGCAATCCTCCTTCCTCAGATTCCTGGGTAGCTGGGACTACAGGTAGGTACTGCTGTACCTTGCTACTACTCATTGTGAATTGACTAACCCAACCCTTATTCCCAACCTCTTTCTCCTGCTTCCATTTCTTTTAATGAGTCTAGAAAAGTTGATTTTCTAGCTTCCCTGGCAGCTAGGAATTGCCTGATGACAGTGAGTATAGTAAAACTTAAGCAGAAATCTGCAAGGGAGTTTCTTGGCAAGCTTTTCCTTTTCTGATTAAACAAACTGTTGTTATGACTGGCTGCTCTGAAAAGCCATCTTTGCATTGTTCCTGGATCCAGCTCCTGAATTTCCATAACCCCTCTGCCATGGCAAACTGTAGGCAACTTTATCACCAGAGTCCCTGATCTCTCACTTTCTTTTAAATCCATTGCATGGGATCCCTGGCATATTCTACCATGTCAGATGAGGCCCTGGGCACCAGCATGGAGTTCACCACCAAGGACTTAGAAGATGGAAGTTGTGGAGGAGGCAGAGAATAGAAAGGACACCCTGCTAATGGGAACACTAATAAGGAAAATGGGGAGCAGAAGGAGGTAGAGGAAGAAAGAGGAGAGGAAGAAGATGGAGAGGAATGAGCAGGCTGAGTAGTTATGGCAAATGGTGGCAGAAGATGTGAGGATGATGAGAAGCAGAAGACCAATGAGGATAGCTAGACAGCAAAAAAAGAAAAGCTGAACTCAAGTGGGGAGGGGCACTGTGACCTATTCAGCCTCTACTTCTCACCTCAGAATTCAAACACAGTCTCCTTGGATGGAGAGGCCCGCTTGCCTACCATGGGCAGCAAATCCTGCAGACAACATGAGCTCTCCACCACCCAGCCAAACTTTAATGTGAATTTCCAACCTGGGGGGGATGGGGAAAGAACCAAAACCTCCAAGGCCCTGCTTTTTTTCTGAAAAGTGTTTTTAAGAGGACAATTTATTTATTTATATTTTTTGTTTACATTTTATATTTTTATACCTATTGTTTGGAGTGAGTCTTTTTTTGTGGGACTGGGGTTTGAACTCAGGGGTTCCTGGTTACAAAGCCGGTGTTCTACCACTTGAGCCACACCGCCATTCCATTTTGCTCTGATTATTTAGAGATAGGGTCTCATAAACTATTTGACAAGGCTGACCTTGGACCTCCTGATCTCAACCTCCCAAGTTGCTAGGATTATGGGGTGAGCCACCAGTATCTGGCCCGTCAGCCATTTTTAATCAAATCAGATGACCAAACCATCTTTAAAGAATTCTTTTTTGTTTTGTTTTGTGGTACTGGAGTTTGAACTCAGGGCTTACACCTTGAGCCACTCCACCGGCCCTATTTTGTGAAGGTTTTTTTCCAAGATAGGGTCTCACAAACTATTTGTCCAGGCTGGCTTCGAACCACTATCCTCTTGATCTCTGCCTCCTGTGTAGCTAAGATTACAGGCGTGAGTCACCAGCGCCTGGCCATCTTTGGAGAATTTTTTTGTTGTAATTCTTATTTGACTTGTGATGTAACCATGTTCATTATAATCTCAGAGGAGAAAAAAGAGAAAACCACCACCACAACAAAACCCTTATGCAAAAAGCAAAAAAAAAAAAAAAAAATCCAGTAACTTTTTGGGCATATGTACTTACCTGTTTTATAAGTAGTTTATTTATATGAGATGGTTAAAAAGACTAAAGATAGCCAGTTATAATGTCACTTTCTGATCCCAACACTCATGAGAATAAGGCAGGGGATTGAAAGTTTTAGGCCAGCCTGGGCAAAAAGTTTGCAAGACTCCATCTCCAAAATAACCAGAGCAAAATAGACTGGAGGTATGGCTCAAGTGGTAGAACACCTGCCTACTGAGTGTGAGTTCAGACCCTTGTCCTGCCAAATAAATAAATAATAAATAAAAAAAATTAAACCCCAGTCGTGCCCCCAACCCCAAGAAAAGGACTAAAAATTTTTGTTTTTTTAATCTGTGAAGTTGCTATTTATTTTTGGCCTGTTTCACGTATGTGTAAGACAATGTTGTCCACCAATAACCTAGAATTTTATTTTGTGAGTTGTAAGTAACAAAAAAGAGACAGTTGTCATGCATTTTGTCCTTTATTCTTCCTACTTTAGACTAAAACATGAGGCATGAAACTGGACTCCTTTGTGAGGAAATAGTGCCTCTTGCTGTGCCTGTGCTGCTGAGCTAATCCCTTCTACTTCCAGATTTACCATGTGAGGAGACATGTCACAATGAAGTGTTTAAGCCACTGTTGGTCAGGTTGTCTGTTCTTCCTGCTGGAAGCACTTTAACTGCTGTTGCCGAGTCCTGTCTAGCTGGCCTCCTGGATCTCTCTCACATTCACCCTGTCCTCTTCACTACTCTAGCTACACTGACCTGCTTTCACCCTCTGGTACAAGCCCATTCCCTCCTGTCACTGCACCTTTACACATCTGGAATGTTCTTCCTTCACACCTTAGGCAAATTAGCTCTATCTTTTAGCTTTCAGATCAAGTACCTCTTCCCCCCAGAAACTTCCTGACCTCCCCTTGTCCTTCCCTGTACACCTGCCAGCTGAGTGTAGTTTCACATTTGTTTGTGTGATTATCTAGTTCCCTCACTAATGCTTACTCCTTGAGAACGGGGACTTTGTTTTTATTTACTACTGTAGTGGTGGCAGCAGGTCCAGCAGCTGGCATAACATAGTCACTCAATATCTGTTGAAACAGGCTTCCAACCCCAAGCTCTCCTACTCCCAAGTCCCCACTTTTCCCTTCACAGGTACACTACTCAGAATGAATAGAATTGGGGAGATATGCCAGATAGGGCCAATGTCAGTTTCAAAGTGTCATCAAAGTGGGATGTCTA